GGCCGACTACGGTCTCCTGCCGACTACGGTCTCCTGCCGACTATGGTCCTTCCGACCAAACGAACATGTCAACAATGACTCTTTGTATTTACATCATGTAATGTACTCCATAAGATGTACATCAAGCTAAGGCCTTCTCCCAAGGAAGGGCCTCATTTGTAATCGACTGCAATACTAGTGGATTCATTCAAACTGGGCTAGGCCCCGTGGTTTTTCCCCCTTTTTACAGGGGTTTTCCACGTAAAAATCTTGGTGTCTCATAAATGCTAGACCCTCTCTCCTTATCTGCTTGCGTGCCAGATCTTCGTACAATGCTAAGACGTTAAATATAATATTTCTCTACCGCCGCGAATACTCCTGGACGCAACAACTTTATTTCTCTATTTTTAATTTATTTCTCTCTCTAACTTTCTCTCCCCTAAAATCTTTTTGTAATATTTTATAACTTGAGCAAGTGCCCATTGAATGGGCCACTTTGCCTAGTTCTAAATTTAATTTTTTTGTTGGCTTAATAACTAATTAAATTTTTAATGATAATTATTTTAAAAATTTACTACTTATTATCGATTCAAGAGAAGTGCTTTTTCCTTTTAAGTTTTATCAAGCACTACTGATAAAGTTTAGGGTGAGGCGTTTATCTAAGTTGGTTTAAGCTATCATTGACATAATTATGATGGCATAATAATTTTATTTTCTTATGATGTAAAATTAATATTTAAGAACTTATAAATATTATTGGTGTCATAAATTAGTCCGAATATTTATAAATTTTAAGAGAATTATTTTGATAATGAAATATCATGATGCAGTTTATTCGTCAAAATTTAGCAGCGCTAAATTAAAACAAAAAATTACAAGTAAACATAAAATATCTTTCAAGCTAGAGCAACTTTATATTAACAATATAAAATTCTTTTCGAGTTGCTTCGAAAAAGAAATACTAAGGAAAATAAGAAGTAATATATTTGAAAATATTTGGAGTTACTTAGTTTTTAAAGCCCAAATGATGGGGGTGGCTGGTGGCCAGCGAAAGCTGGTGGGCAATGACGGTGGACGAAGGCAACAATTAGCAATGGTAGTCAATTGTGGCCTTCGATGGGCAGTGGTAGTGGATGGCATCTAATGGTGGGAGACAATGATGGTGGTGTTAAGTGGTGGCTAGTTACAGCTGCTACTGGAAGTAGTCGATCACACTAGGGTTGGCTAGCGAGAGTCTCGGTGGTAGCTATGGGCAACGGCTACTGGCAACGTTAGTAGGTGACATCAAATGAACGATAGCAATAAGTGGTGGTCGATGGCAGACGTGTTGGCCAGCGACCGCCTGCGACAACAATAACAAAAAAATTCACAGCATATATGCAAATCAATTAAATATAATGATTTTTAAACACGTCAAAATTAAACTAGAGAGCCCATTCTAAATAGTTTAAAATTTTAATTCAACATTTCTTTTACTTCACAGCAAATACTAATATTCTCAAAACCTCCTTTTACTTCAAATCAAACAATCTCTTCGTGCCAATCTAAGTCATAGAAAAATGTAAAATTCATGTACTAATCCCTCAGATCAATCTAAAAAATAATAAATATCAAATTAACAATTTTTAAAATCCTCAAAATTTACAAAGCATTCAACTTAGGGGTGTTAAATAGGTCAACGGGTCGAGTTTGGGTTCAACTTGAATTGACTCTGGTCTAAATGTGCTAATCTGACCTGATTTTGCAAACATATCCGAAATATCAACCTAAACTCGACTTCCATTGGGTTACTGGCTTGACACGACCCAATCCACAAACCTTGGACATGAACGTCTGATGCTGGCGAACGTTGAGTCCTAACTTGAGGGCATTACGCGGGAGGGCTGGGCAGCTGAGTCAGGACGCGCTGCTGCGCAAGCTTCGAGGTCGACCGGTTGAGTCGCGAGCTAACGCTACACTGTTGCATGCGAGCGCAAGGAAGCAGGTGAGGGTCGCGAAGCGAAGGCGTGCGGGGTCGAGCTTGCGAGTGCTGGAGTGGGACACTTGAAGCAATGCACAACTGGTGTGAGAAGCCATATCGAACTTGGGATTGATATGTGTGTGTGGGTCGATGGCTCACGGGTCAAATCCAGGTTGATTTTGGATTTCTGGGTCAATCTGAATCCGACTTGGTTTATAAATGGGTTGGAAAATAAAATCCAAACGTGACTCATCAAGAAAATAAGTTGACCCGACTCAAAATTTTTTGGTTCAGGTTCGAGTTAGATTTCGAGTCGGAACAATATTTGACACCCATAACTCAACCATGTCATTGAATACCAATTCTCATCTGTAACCAATGTGGAGTCCAGTTTCCACAAACTCCAAATAATAAACTGTCTAAACGGCCCCTTTTAAAAACGTAGCTACCGAAATAAGCCCAATAAGCGTTTTGTTGGGCCATATCCAATTTAGACAATTTTCATCTCTTGTAATTTTACAAGCAAATAAGAAGCATTTTTTTTATTTTTTATTATTATTATTTTTTCAAACATTATGAGCTAAGGAAATTAGGATTTAAGGATCTTATTTGGTTAAAAAATTATTTAAATTTTTTTTTATAGTTAGGAGTAATTATAGAAAGTTTTTTTTTTAGATAAACTTACGCAAAATTTTTATGTAAGCAGGTTCTCATTACTTTTTTAATGGAACCCAAAGCGCTCACGCAACTCTCGCTGTCTCTTCACTCTTTCCAATTCACAGCCGAGAGCGGTGAAGCTTCACCTGTTCATCCTGCTAGCAAGAATCCTCAGAGCTAACAGAGAGAAGGGGGAAATGGAGATAGAAACGATTAAGCACAGGATGCTACAGGTTAACGGGATTAATATGCACGTCGCCGAGAAAGGGGATGGTCCGGTGGTGCTCTTACTCCACGGCTTTCCGGAGCTCTGGTACTCTTGGCGCCATCAGATTGTCTACCTCGCTGCCCGCGGGTACCGGGCCGTCGCCCCCGACCTCCGTGGCTTCGGCGACACAGACGCCCCTCCCGATGTCGACGCCTACTACATGTTCCACCTCGTCGGCGACCTAATCGCGCTCATCAACTCTCTTGGCCAGGACAAGGTCAGATAAAAAATCCCGCTGTAATGGGAGCTACTATTGTTTTCGGGTTTTGTTGTTCTGAGATTAGAGTGATATTTTGAAGGTTTTTGTGGTTGGCCACGACTGGGGGGCGGTTGTGGCCTGGTACCTCTGCATTTTCAGGCCGGACAGAGTGAAAGCACTGGTTAATCTCAGCGTTGCGCACACTCCCCGGAACCCAGTTCGAAGACCGGTCGACTCCTTGAGGGCGCTCTACGGTGATGATTACTATATATGCAGATTCCAGGTCCTCCTTTCTCAATGTTTGTCGTCGTTTCCATTAATGGTCTTTCAATCCGTAAATATCATATTTTTTTGAAGTTGGAATATAGAAGTTGTTGGTTGATTGCTTTGTTGTGTAGGCGTTATTCAAGTTGTTGATTATTTGTTGGTTGATTGCGCTGATGTTGTTGATTACTTTGCTGCAGAGTATATTTAATCATCAAACTTTTCGAGAGTTTCTTGAATTTTTTATACAGTTTATATAATCATGTTGTTGAAGTACCTTTGTTTCGTTCAAAATTTTGCAAAGCATATATTAAAGGAAATCGTTTGATTTCTGAGTCAGGGCTAGCCTTTGTGTTGAGTATAGTCCATTCTCTTTATTATTGTCGTCATGTGCAATGGATCATGAATTGAATACTATTTTTGTTTACCTTGATCTTGTCGGTTCTTAGTGTTTTGGAAGTTATCTTCATGTACTCACTCATCTATGTTGTTCTCTAAATTTTAGACAGCTTCCAGTCGAGCCTGCTTGGTGTGTTTTTTTTTTTTTCTGTAACTGGGTAGGTAAGTAGTTAGATTCTATGGGCATTCCTTGTTTCTTTTTATATTTGCTTATGGTTCTGAGTAAGCTATTAGAGAGCATTGTCTATTGGAAATTGGAATATAGAGGATGCTTTCCCCTTTGGAGGATTGTGTTCATACTGAAGCCACTATGATGCTATCAAGATGATATTGATTCCCAAGAACTAATGATTAGTGTGATATCCTTCACCAACTTGTTCTTTAAATTTCAATATAGATGACTCTTTGAAAAGTTTGTGTTGGATATGTTTATGCATTTTTGCTCATTAAAATTATTATGGTGTTCTTATTTATGTTAAGAAGGGTAGAGCTAAACCTAAAAAGACTTGGTTTGAAAATATTGGAAATGACCTTTCTTTATTAGATTTAAATGAGAATTTAACTTTTAAAAGGGCACAATGGAGAAAAAGGATTCATGTAGCCGACCCCACATAATGGGATGAAGGCTTGATGTTGTTGTTGTTGTATTTATTTATGTTTTTAGTTTATTTCCTTATGGTTTTAATTGAGTATATTCATTTGTGAGTTTTTATACTAAAAATTACATTTTGGTTTGAACTTGAGAAAATTTGTTGCACTTGAATTAAATTTTTGTTAATTTGCACTTCTGGTTTAGAATCGTTTATTATTTGTGCTTTTCTTTCCTTATGCCCTACAAATCTTCTATGATAGAATACATACCCTTCATATTTTCACTCATATAATTATAATAGAGTTTTCACTACAAGAAAATGGTTGATTTTTGCCAGTCTTTTCCGTTGGAAATCGGGCAATATCCGTCAGAATAGCACATTTCCAGTGGTTTTCTGACAAAAAATTTTTCACCGGTAAAACACGTGTTGTAAAATAAATAGCTGCGAAAGATCCATCGAAAACATTTACAACAAATTTTGGATAGAAATTTTTGTCAGAAAGTTTTTAAAAAATCTGGCAAAAATTAAGAAAATATTTGGCAAATCAGTTGCTCGCGACTCTCGACTACCCACCCGTTGCCCAAGCGCCTGCCTACAAGCTTACCGAGCGCCTTCCCACGGCCCGGGCCTGGTTGTTAGCCGAGGCCCACGACTACCCGCCCACTAGAGCACCTACACGCGGCCCGCGCCTTCCCTTGACTTTGTAAGGGTTTGAACCCCGAACCTTTGGCTCGATAATCTAGCCCCATCCACTCAGCCGCGAAGCAAAACATGTTTAAGTTGTCACTCTTTTATATTTAAATCAAAGCATATAAAATAATAAAATTAATAATTAACTTAAAAGAAATATTAGTTAATTTGCTAATTATTTCATTAAAATTAGTTAATTAGTTAATGTAAATTAGTTATTTAGTTAATTAGTTTATTAGTTAATTCCTTTTTAATTATAAATATATGATTATTTCTCAGAAATTTTTAAAATCCCCCAGAAATATATGGGAAAAATTTCATTGGAAATCTGTTAGAAAATCAGTCTAAAATCTGCCAAAAGTTTCAACGGAAATTTTACGCTGGAAATTCCGTACGTAATTAACATTTTTCTTGTAGTGTTTGAAAGTCGCATGTAGGGTGATAGCGTTTTTTGGAGACTTCTGATGAGATGATAAGTTTGTTATCTTATGCTTCCATTTGCATACCACTTTATCATTCGATGCTAACATTAGTTGACGATTAATTTAGTTTGTTTTCATAATTATTCTCCAGATCTGACTAGAACATTGCATATTTCATAGGAACCTGGAGAAGCAGAAGCTGACTTTGCTCGCTTGGGTGCAGCATTTGTTATTAGAAAGTTCTTGACATATCATGAACCAGCGCCTATTCTCATACCAAAAGACAAGGGATTTGGAGGATCCCCTGATGAAGAAATAATCTTACCTTCTTGGCTATCTGAAGATGATATAAGTTATTTTGCAAATAAATTCAACAAGTCAGGGTTCACTGGAGGACTTAACTACTATCGGATCATGAATCGGTATGTTTGTTTGGACTAGCTATTCTACCTGCCCTGAACAACCGTTGTATACTAGCTTGAGTATTTTTTACTTGTTGATATCCAAGTTCTCTAAAATTTATTTTCACTGTAACCAAGCATGATGTATAATATTAAGTTGTTACTTGTTCAAACAATGCTTGGATGAACCCTTATGGAGTTTATTACAACTAAAGCTTATATAAAATAGTTCCTAATAACAAAATTTTACTTTAAGAATTCTGTCTATTATTTCTCTAATGTAAATTTGAAGCTAATGATGCCTATTAGTCTTATTCTGCTCAGTAGCTTTGCTTAGCAGTGTATATGTTTTATAATGAAACTTGTTATTGAAGCAAAATTTGTTGGAAACGGGAGATTTGGTTTTTTTTTTCTTGTGTCAAATATTGATGCTTGGATTAAATTATGATGCATGATTTAGTTAAGATTATTAGTTAGAAAAAATAAGGGTTGTTGTTTCATTCCTTTATTGGGATGTTTCGATTGCTTTCAATTAAAGAAAAAAGTACCACCTACTGATTTTGTAGGTTTGTGTCCATTATTTTCAAGATATGTTTGAGCTCGCCAGAGCATCTCCTAGCTTAAACTTTAAATGTCTGGTTAGAGTTGATGCTGCAACTAACTTGTGGACTCCAAACCCAATCTTTCAATATCTAGCATCGTGTGGTGGCTTCTCTATTTGAGTGGGGTGGGGTGAAGTAGGGTGGGGTGGGGTTAGGGTTGTCAAAATGGTCTTCGGGTTGGTTTTTGATCCAACCTGAACTTCACCCGCTGCCAGCTGACCCTGCCCAATTATGGAAATGGGTCACAAATGGTTTAATTAAATTTTGGGTGAAGTCGGGTTGTGGTCGAGTTCTTGGGTCAACCTGAGCCCGACCCATATTTAAAACGGGTCAAGTTTCTAAACTTGAACTCGTCCGTTGGATAAACGGGTTGACCCGAATATGAACTTTTCCGGGTGGGGTCAAGTTTTAACACCCCTGGGTGGGATGGGGTACATGCATGTATTTTGGGGTGGGTCAGGATGTGAGAGAGAGAGAGAGAGAGAGAGAGAGAGAGAGAGAGAGAACCATGGTTGCCACTCTATGATCATATATTCGCAAGAACTACGACATTGAGCCTAAGAATCATGTGGCCTAAGTTTCTTATTTAACATCATGAGGAAATAAAAAGTAAGAGATCACAAATGATAATTGCTATTATTTACTTTGATCGAAATACTAATAGTCAATGAGAACTTCAAGTTTTGGAGATTACTAGAATGTCACATGATAGCAACACCTATAGGGATAAAGAATGAAAGGGGAAGAAACTTGACAATCTTAAACCTGTATGTAAGAGAAGGGTTTAAGTGTTGTTTGCAGATTAAGGTTTGTGGGAGCAAACATAGATGAAACTACTTGCAAGAGCGACACATGCATTACGAGGCATGCTAATGATTGATGAGGACATCGTCAGCATTTTCGACGCCGGAGATCGACGGCCACGAGCATGAGTTGTATTTTCATCATCTTATGTAGTAGTTTATTTTTACTTTATGTTTTTCCGTTTTTGCCCTTATGGGTATTTGATAGCTATTGTAGCCCAAGAGGCATTTTAGTCTTTTGTTTTCTTTGACATTGTGAGGCCTATTTATATGGCCCTTCTCATGTAATAGTTAGTTTTGATGGAATGAAAATTTGTCACTTATGTTCTCTTTGTGAGTTCATCCTCCTCGATCTCTTAGTGAGTTCGTAGGAGAAGCTAGATCTCTTTGTGAGTTCTAGGTTTTTCTTGTTCTCCTCTTTTCTTTTATTTCTCTTGATCAAGTCTTCCAAATTTTCCTCTTGATTTTCTAGCCTTACTTTTCCCCTTCCCCCATCAACCCCTTGCCGCCGGCCACCTGGGCCGCCCAAGCCTCCCGCCGGCCAACTCCCTGCCAGTCAGCTCATAACCCCATTCCGCCGGCCACAGCCCCATCCCTCCCTCTCTGGAAATTTTGGGATTTAGAATTCAAACTCCCTCATGAGCTTTTGATTACCTTCCTTAATTGACTCCTAGAATTGAGGCAATTGTTTTAATTGAGTTTTAATAGCATATTTGAAATTCAAATAGTGCCTGTTTTCCCCTCTCAATTAAAAGGAAGTTTCCTTTTTTATGAAAATCTGTTTTATTACAGATTTTAATCAAATCTGTTATTCACATTGTGGGCCCCATTTTATTTAATACCAAGCCCCCCCTCTCTCCCCATATGGCCGGCCACCTCACCTTTATTGCCTCTCTCTCTAATTGCCACCTCATCACCACTTAAACACCCTTTAATGCCTTCCTCTCACATAATTAATTGCTGATTTCTTCAGTTTTAATTTTCAGATTTCAAAATCTGAAAATTGAAATGGCTTCTCTCCCTCCTCAATTAGTTCCTTCATCCCACTCTCACGGCTTTCCTGCATACCTAGGCTATTATTGTTATTTCCTAATACTAGAGTTGAGAAATTAGGAATAATGAGTCCGTGGCTCCTTGCTGGAAATCCTTCTAAAGCCTTCACTCCCTCTCAATCCAGGAATTGAAGTCCTGAATTAAATTCCAGTCAATTCCCTTTCTTCTCTACAGCCCGCCACTCCTCCAAACCCCTTCCCATCTTGAAATCTGCCTCACGGGATGGCTGTCCAGAAGTTCTGAAAATTGGTAGACTACTGTCCACTGATTTTTGCACCTTTCTACCGACTGGTTAGCCCCCACACTCAAACCCCTCGCTGTCCAGACTTTGCTGGACATCATTGGATTGCTGCCCAGAACTCCATACTCCGGCCACCTATCCAAGAACGACGATCTTAGGTTTCTTCTTCCTCGGAGTGACCTCGGTTCTAATGTGGAGACTCTTCTTCCGCTAAAACCTAGACTAGTTGAGCGTATGGACTCCAAAGGTGAAAGTTCTCTTTATTAAATTGCGGATTCTTGTTTACCGTCGTAGTTTTACAATTGATCTTGGCATTTTGCTTAAATTGTTTGGTTAATCGACTCCGCTCTTCTTAGCCTAAGCAAGTTAAGAACCACGATTTCCAAGGATCAATTTTTTGTTATAAGTGACAATTTTATTTTGGGATTATTTTGTTAAATTGTTCTCTTTAATTTCCTTAAAGTAACTCCTGAACGGACTTTGTTTCACATCAATGATCCAGAAGCGAGAGTACAAGTCCGTACAACTAATGCAAGAGCAGGATAGTGTGACGCTAGAAAGAAGTGGAGTGAGAACTGTGAGGCCAAGAAACCAAGTGGTTCAATAGCAGGAGCATTTGAGGTCAAGCGAGTTGTGCGGGATTGGATGCTGTAGTATTGGAGTAGGAGAGATGCGTGCATGTGAGGTTTCTAGGAGATGAGAAGTTCTAGCATAGGAAGGAGGGGATGAGGGGGGACAATGGCTAGGCTTGCTAAATAAGATATGATGCCTTGTTGGATAGGAGAATATTTGCTTTATTATATTCACACACACATATCAAATTCACTTAATGCAGAGTTATAAATCTCATAGTTAATAATCAATTGTTTGTGAATATGTCATTTAAATCATGCAAATGTTATGGAGTAATGAAAATGGTGACATACTAGTATACAATTTAAGGGGATTTATAATGAAGATAAAGTGATAAGGAAAATTGAAGGCAAACAAACCACATAATATGAAATGCTTATATAGATTAACAACCTTTTTGAACAAAACTAATTTATATGAGTTAAAGATAATTTATGATGAGTTTCCACTTTTAGTTTTGACTGGATAGATTAAGCTTCAAATTTCAAGTTTCTTTTAAGACATTTTTTGTTAAATACTTATTGAAATATTGATGTAACTTAATTTTCTAAGTAAGGTTATTTTAACTAATTTGATCAGATTTTAAAATTTTAATAGGATTTGAGTATTGATCCCTCTGATTGAGATTTATATTCAATGCGGTCATCTTCGAGGCTATTGATATAATTGGTTATTCAAACCTTGTCAACTATGTTTACCCGCTAACAGAGAATCATGTTTAATAATTGATGACTATCCGAACGCTTAAACCGAGATCTTATATTTTATGATAAGTTTCATCTACAGAGCCTTTAAAGGTCAAATGTGGACTTTAAACTAAATGTCCATGTAGATTTGTGATTAGGCGTTCATTGTTAATTTAAGTTAGGGGTGTAAATGAGTCGAGTCAAGTAGTGGCCTTATTGAGCTCTGCTCATCAGTCAGAAATTTGGCTTGAACTCGAACTCGACTCATCGCACTGCAAATGGCTCGTCGTGTTGTTTGATTCCGCGATTCAAAGTCGTGTCGTTTGATTCCGCGATTTGAACCCGTGCCTTTCGTGTCCCACAATCCATGTCATTTGCATCCGCATGAGAGCCCATGTCGTTCACGTCCTGCAATCCGCTCACGAGCTTGCATCGTTCGAGTCTCACAATCCGCATGCGAGTCCAACGACATGTCGTTTGCGTAACCGCGTTTCGCACGCGAGCCCACCATTCAGAATTCCTTCCCGAAGTTCAAAATTTCTACTTTCTGTCGTGTTATGTCAGTCTGTCTTTAATATCTAATTATTTTATTAAATAATTAATTAATGACTAGCCAGCTCTGGAGCTCACAAGCTAAGCTTCGTTGAGCTCAAACTTGAGCTTGTTTAATAAACGAGCTTGAGTTTGAGTTGGAGCTCGAGCTCGTGGCTCGGTAAGCTCGGCTCGCGAGCATTTTAACGAGTCGAGCTCTAGCCAGCTCGGTTCGCTTATAACCCTAATTCAATTCATGTCAACTCCAGTCCATTGAAGGAGAATGATGAAACTTGAATATTTGACCCGCGCAACATTCTCGGACTTTTGGATTTAGGAATCAAATGTGACGATCATAGCATATGCGGGATTTATTTTAGCATATAGATCACAGCTATTGTCAAGGCATTTAAATATTTTTAGTGAATCCGTGAAGCATTCTCATATCGTGCATTTAAGAGCTTGATATGAAAATCAGAGCACATGTGGAATAAGCAACTGCATTAAGCACTCCAGCTATCTTGAATATTCTCGTATGTTGATTGCCTGTAAGAGTGCTCCTGGCTGCTATTTAAAATGTGTCATAGTTTGACATTTGTCAATCATGCTGGCGAGATGCATACCTGCTTGTATTTGCCACAGGTATTTCATATGTATATCTTTTTATCCCCGTGTGAACTTTCTTATGGTTTTCCAAGTACAACAGTTTGTACAGTGTTTTTTTGGCTTGTGGTTCTATTGCAAACCAATCGGTCAGACCCGTTAGTGTTGTTTCTGATGTTATTGGGAGTGGTATTTCTATATTGTTGCCTAGAACTTCGCAAACCCTTTTCTAATATGATTCCATGCCTTGATGAATTTGCCTGGGCTCTTAGTAAATAGCATCATAGTAGATAATGCAATGTAGGAGTAAATTTCAGCCTCTACACGTTGGTCATCAGTGACAAACATATCCTCTGTTGGGCTTCCAATTGATAGTAGTTTTTCAGAAAAGTCTTTATATCTACGATCATCGTCTGTCTCTAATTGGATGTCCTCGGGGAATAGGTACTCATTATGTTCCCCACCATACGCTAAGATAAATAAAGTTACTGCCCCACATCTACTGAACCCAGATGATATCATAGGAATAACAACTCTTCCTCAGCTTGTGTTGTCTTATGCATTGGCTCTAAACAAAGCTATTCTCGCTTGGTGTTGCAATGTGTCATCGGGGAAATCACAGTTGACAGGCTGCAGATCCTTTTTTTATGTTGCCTAACGCCGCAAATCGGGGCTCTATAGTTCCTATTGTTATTGCTAAGTACAACGTTATCTGTTCCTCTAGGGTATCATCATGTTTTGCACCCGTTGGAGATGTTTCACTAGGTGTTATTTCGGGATACTCTTTTAATGGGGTTTTTTGTTTCTCTACTTGTATTGGGGTTGTTGTTGTAGTGCCCGCTTGACATCTCCATCAGCCTTGTTTTTTGTAATGCTTCTAAGCTCATAGACTATTGTGGATCCATCCTTGCACACTATTGTCGTGTCCTTGAGTCTATGTGTCTAGGGTAGGAAGCCATGATAAACAGTCAACCAGACTATTGGGATTTTGTTTTCTTAGAAGTTGCTCTCTTTTGTATGTACACTTGCATCTTTCCGACTTCTACTTGCATCGTTAAAACAATAAAAAAATCTGAGATTTCCATTGGAGCTAATCACAGCACTGTTTAAAGTGTTTTTCAGGTTTGTACATATTACTAAGGTTTACTTTATTTCCCTCATTTAAAGGGGCCTGATCAACAACTGCATTTATGGATATGATAGATTCTCCAAATGAAGAGTTGGTAGTTCCATCGAGGTCATTTAAACTATTGCCTGGTTGATGTTTGTAATTACTAAGAGAGTGAATAAAAATGAGCTGAGCGTGATCTCTGAATGATGTCAACAGAGCCTAATTGTTTAAATTCAACAATAGTTAGAGAAATATCTTTATCCCTTTATCCCAATCTCTTGCACTTACATGTGTTGCCTTTGCTTCAGTAATATGAGTTTCATGAGTGTGGTTTATTTTTTTATTAAAATTACAAACAATTAATTTTTATTTTATTTTATTTTTTTAAATCATTTAAAATGAAAGATTTTTATTTGAAATTAATTGCGTGAGGGTCCATTGTTTCTTCAAAATTTTAGCAGTCTCCTGACGTTCCCTTCTTGCGAGGCAAGGTTGGGAGACACTTGTCTTTCAAATTCGCCCTGGCCGGATCCAAGATTGGATGATAGTGGGTTTCATTTCAAATTTTTTCGGCACAGATCTAAGATAATATGGCACATAGCTTCAAATAAGTGGTTCTTGTTATATAATTGGAATTGAACCAGAGAGAAGGCTCAGGCTGGACGATGGGTCGAAATTGGTCGAAATATCAAGCGCAAGAGATCGAGCAAGAGGGTTTGGTGGCTTAGCTGCATGAGTCGGGTTGGAATTTGGTTCGTATGCTGGTAGAAACGCTAGGTTCAACGTGTGCTTGATTGGAGGTAGGCTAATCTGTGTCGAATCAAGCGAGTCGAAGCGGGCGGAGCACGCGGGATTGCGTGCGAGAGTCTAGGTCGAGCAGAGGGATTGAGTGGGCCACGTGTGTGCTCACGCAAGAAAGCAAGAGGTTGTGGTCGGACGATTGCGATCGAGAGCGGGGTTGTCGTGTGAGTTGCAAGCAAGATAGCAACTTTAATTCGGTGGGCTAGGGTCTCGGTGTGACAGAGGTAGGCGAGAGAGAGAGTGGCTGTCTCTTCATGCAAATCAACCGAATGAAGAGGGAGTTCGGATTGGGGAGTTTTGTGTCATGGGGGAGTTACGTGAGGGAACTGCTACGTCGTTTGAGCGAACGGTTGCCGAAGGTGGTGCCAATCAATGGTTAGAAGTCAACTGTTAATAGAATTATTTGATATTTACTTTATGTTAAATGATGTGCTTGAAATTTATGATAGCTTGCATAGAAAATATATTATTGAAGAGACTGATTTTAGAAAAATATGTAATTGGAAATGATTTGAATGTTGAATTGTTTGATGATAAAGTTGCTTCTACTCTATTTCATGATATTATCATATTCTCGCTATTGAACTGAATAGCAAAGGAATGGTTCTTCCTGTACGTTTTATTTTTTGATGATTTGATTCAAAATTTTCTAAGTCATGTTAATAGTGCAAAACCAACATGAAACATAAGAGCAAGGACATGACTTTAAAATAAATTATTTCTCACATCAGGGAAGAAGAAACAAACATGCAGAATGATAAGAATGACAAGGCTAGGGAATTCACTTCTAAATTCAACCTCATTGGACAAAAATTACTGAAATCTTACTCTTAATCGCTTAAGAATAATGGGGGTCATCAGGATCATAATTTAAAGCCTAGACCTTCTCAAAATATGAAGAAGATTTAGATTTATTATGTATGTGGTAAACCTAGACACTTAACCATCTCAATGCATGCAAAATAAGACCTTGGAAAATCTGCCTGAAGCAGATCCCATTGTAGTGGTCATTTCAGAGGGAAATGCTTTGGCAAAGGATAACAATAATGGAAGAGTTTCTTCTTGGAGATTCCAGGCGTACACCAGTGTTGGCGAAGAACTCAAAAGATCGATCCTATCCTCTTACTCACAAACAGTGGTCCTTTTGGTGCCTGATGTTCGTTAGAACCTATTGTCTGGATCTATTTTTGGTGAAGTTGTCTGATTCTTCATTGTACTTTTGATTTTGGATGGTGTTTAATTGCAATGTTTATTTTATGAATTCACGTATATAATTATGGAAGTGGGTATGCTTCTTATGAAAATTAAGGCAAACTTTCTAGCGCGATCATGAATACAAGATTGGAATGGGGACCAAACAGGTTCATAAAAGCATGATTTCACCAACTTCTTATTGATTCTACGCATTAAATTTTTGTCTAAAAGTCACTAATGCTTATGCATTTGATTTAACTAAAGTATTTTGCTTTGAAATTCGTGCGAGATTGTTATAAAAGTCACTCATAGCAATTGATAATTATGAATTGTTTCTTTATTAGTTTAAATTTGCTGCTGTTTAACTTTTTTTTTTGCACTTAATTTACAACATTAGACACTGTCAATCTGCCTCACTCTCACAAACAAACACATAAACCCTAAACAACAACAACATCAAGCCTTTGTCCCATTACATGGGGTTGGCTACATGAATCCTTTTTCTCCATTGTGTCCTATTTAAAGTCAAATTCTCATTTAAGGCTTTGTTTGGGACATCTTTTTTACTGCTTCTTAAAACGGCTTTCTAGTACAAAAATTAACTGGGAGCTGACCGCCCCCTGGACTGGGGTTCAAATAAAAGTACCTGTGAAGTTTGTAGTTGGGGATATGGACCTGTCCTACAATGTTCACCGCGTCCAGGAGTACGTTCAGAAGGGTGGATTCAAGCGAGATGTTCCATTCCTTCAGGAAGTTGTGGTGATGGAAGGAGTTGGTCACTTCATTAATCAGGAAAGACCAAATGAAATCTCTCAACACATACTCGACTTCATCAACAAGTTCTGATGCTTCTGATACTTGGTATGTATAAATAAACTCGAGGTTTTACCTCATGAACTCCATTGATGCAGACCTCTCTTTGTTTTTGCATCCTACTTTATTATACTTATCTGCTGCATAACGCGTGCTTCGACGATGATAGTAAGCAGTTGTGCTCTTATTTGGGGATATGAATTTGAATAAATAAATGCATCAAGAGACGAGAGAAGAATGAAGTCATGATGTAAATTTGTTGGTCTTTGGATCGAGTGCAGGCAATTTGATTGAAATGTGATAAGCTGGAAGAGAACATGTAAGGGTGGCCACTATTGATTTTGTATGTTCTAAGCCCGTTAATAAAGTAGCGTAGACATCTGGCCGAGTAGAATGTTTTAATTATGATCTTTTATAATCATAATGATGGTCATAACATATGTGTCATATCTTTGGAGAAAGCAAAATACAATTAATATTTCTCCAAAAAGATTTTTCTCATTAGTTACATAGCAAAGAAGCTCATTTTAATTCTCTTACAAATTTACTATTAAAGTTTTCTAAAAGTTTATAATTTAATCAACAAAAATTTCGAAGAGAAAAATCAACTAATGAAATTTGAGTGATCAGATTGTTTATCTTAAAATTTCACAAGAAGATTTGTATAATAAATTTCAGCTTCTTAAACAGAGCAATATACCTTCAAAAAGATATATAAATCAGTTAGATGTTTTATTTAAGAATAATAAATTTGAAGGGTTGAGTTTCAATTTCAATAAATATCATTATACTTAAAGAAAGAAATCATATATAAGAAATATCAAGTTGACCAAGAAATTCCTTAACCGGATGATTTATTACAGAGTATTAAAGAAATTCATAAAAGCTAATAAGTGAACTGAAATTTGAGGAGGAAGAATATCTTGTTGCTATCATTTCTTCTTCAAGTTATTCTAAAAAAAATGTTTTAAAAGGTATATTGAGTCAGAATTATTATCTAAAATAGAATTGAAGAGAGTTTGGGCATCAAGGTCAGGATTGGATTGATGTTCAAGAGAAATTGCTTGGTACACTACGCTTGATCGACTTGAGGCAAAGGTCGATTCTCTTGAATATAAGCTCATCCATCATTTTAAAAAAAAAAATTTAAGCTCATCCACCACATAACTCAATATAAATATAATCTATAGAAACCTATTGCATCCTCATCCTACTCACATTCCCCAAAAGTTAAAAAAAAAACTCGGGGTCGGGTTATTGAACGAGTTGATAATATAAAAATAAAAAATAAAATCTAATTGAACATTCACGTGTCAATATTTAATTGGAGTGCAGGCTATATCTAAATTTTGCACCAAATAATTTCTCCTATCTAGCATCACAAACAAGAAGCATTCATAATTAAGTTTCATAATAGCTCATTTATAATCATTTGATTTATTAATTATTTGTTAATAGGCTTTATAAGATGAACATTTAAAATTAAAGCTCATTAATAATAAGATAAAGCTGGTATTTTTAAAGCTCAATATGAATGAAATAATCAAACATTGATTGAAAATAAATCAAATATGGATTGAAAACAAATCAAATGCAAACATCTATTTGACAAGCTGTCAATAAACAAGTTCAAACCTGAATGAACATTTTCTTAGTAAATGAAGGTAAATTGGTTACATTTTATTTATGAGAAGATGCTTCCAAAATAAGAAAATAATAAACTAAAAATCAAAGAAGAAGATATCTAAAAGAACAGAACAGTCTGGAAACTTCTTGTGATATTAGCTCAACCACATCAAAAGTGTACATACCTAGACGCCCGAAGAGTGAACCTCGAACGATGCACTAAATTTGAAATGATCAATAGCTTCAAAAGAATTAGAGGCATAAACAATAGACAAAATAAAATTTTGAAAAAGTAGCAATCCCATGAATAATTTGACTGAAACTAATAAAGGAAGAATCCCGTTCAACTCAAATTATACTTAAATTAGAGAGAGAAAAATTATTACAGCTATATAAAAGGCTAGTGATAATTCAAAAATCTCTATCTGACAAATTATTTTCGCTAACTTTAGCTTCAAGATTACATATGAGTTTCAAATTAAGTTTTTGGATAAAATTGAGGCTTTGTTTGAGATGAATTTCTTAATGCGCTTCCTAATAAAAAAAATAAAAAATTGCTTTAAAAAGCAGAAAAAAAAAAATCTCAAACAAAATCTAAGGCTTCGTTTGGGACGGGTTTCTTCCTGCTTCTTAAAGTAATTTTTTAATATAAAATTTAAAATCTTTATACTAGAAAGCCGCTTTAAGAAGCAGGAAGACATCTGTCCCAAACAAAGCCTAAGTCAACAAAACCTCTTAAAGTGATTTATTTCAATGTTGAAATGAGAGATTTAATAAAATTAAACAATTTTCTCAAGACATGAAGCAATTGTGAACTGTTTAGTCAAGCTTGGAACCACAGAAGGTAGAACTTTAAAACATGGTACCACATTTGATGACAAATATAGTTCAGACTATGAATACTACCAGGCCAGACCAGGCTAGGCCGAACAGAAATTGAAACAGAAGACTAGCAATTCAAGAGAAACATTGAACTTCCACCAAGTGTTTGATCGCAACACATAAAAAGTAAAAAATAAGGAAAGATGAACGGGCTCAAACCCTAAAACCCCTGCTATTTCTCCTACCTCTAGCCTTCTCAAACTTTCTTCCTTTAGAACGAACATAGGGCTTTGTGTGGCTGTGTGGAACGCCAGGTGCAGGTCCGAAGTGCTTCACAGCTTCTCTAGCGTTCTTAGGACCCCTTAGAAGAATCTGTAACATAAGTAGGAACCAAATAAAATCATTATAACTCTGTAATAGTTGTCTTTCTAAACCAGTATAAAATAGTTGCAAGGCCAAAATAGAACATCATTCAACGATAATAAACAAAGCCCAGACAAACTATCTTCTTCCAAAAACGAGTAAGATAACGCAGATAAAAAGAATGCCAGATATGTTTGATTTGAATCAATTGATCCGAATGCACTTTCACAAACTAAAGGGCATTTTTGGTTTGAAGGGAAAGCTAATACAGTTTACTTCATAATTTTACACTGAATAGAAAGATTCGGCTCCAATGCAATTGATATGTGATTGGATTTTAACTAAAAAATGTAAGCAAAAGCATTTTTTTTATATTGTCAAGTTCATGTTAAAATGAAAATGGAGGCCTTCCTACGACTCGGTAAGGAAAGTTGAGGTATTAGATTTGACTTATATCAAAAAAGTAGAGATAGACCTAAAAAGACTTTGTTAAAAAATATTAGAAATGATCTTTTTTTTATTAGATTAAAAGATAATGTGACATTTAATAGGACACAATGGAGAAAAAGGATTCATGTAGATGACCCCACGTAATGGGAATTAAGGCTTGAGGCCAATTTTTCAAAAGAAGCATGGTTAACGTCCTTTTTCGGGGAAGAAGCGTGATTGAGAGAAATTTTAAAAAAAGAGCGAATTCGCCGAACCGTACTGCGCATTATTTGTATGCGCGAGCCTGATTGGAGCATTCAAAGAATGCGCCGAACCTAATGGCGCATTCTTTGAATGCGCCTAATATATCGAAGCATTCTATGAATCCGACCTGCATGTGTTTCCGCGAAGTAACGTGATTTCTAGCTTCGGAACTTGTGACGTGGAATTTGTGCCGAGAGCAGACCAGATCCATTTTTTTTCGAGGAAAAAAAAGGTATCTTGATTGAATGAGGAACCGGTTGAGCAGAGCGGATTCTTTCTTTACAAATTATATAAACTCCTCCCCCAATATTAATTCCTTCACATATCTAATTCTTCACACATCTAAGCTTACAGAGTTGAGCAAATTCCTTCAGGATTAGATGTGTAAAGGAATTAGCATCGAGGGAGGGGTTTATATAATTTGCAAAGAATGAATCCGCTTTGCTCAATCGGTCTCATTCAATCAAGTGATTTTTCCCCAGAAAAAACGGATCTGCTCTGCTCTCGGCGCAAATTCCGCGTCACAAGTTCCGATGCCCAAAAATCATGTAACTTCGTAGAAACACGTGCAGGTCGGACGCATAGAATGCGTCGATATATTAGGCGCATTCTTTAATGGAGCGTTCAAAACCTAATGGCACATTTTTGAATGCACCATTAGGTTCGGCGCATTCTTTAAATGTGCCAATCAGGCTCTCGCATTCAAATAATGCGCCGTTCTATTCGGCTAATTCGCTCTTTTTTAGAAATTTTCCCAATCACGCTTTTTCCCCTAAAAACGACGTCAACCATGCTGCTTCCAAAAAATTGGCCAAGGCTTGATCTTGTTGTTGTTGCAAGTTCATGGTCAAATGAAAATTTTATGTGATGATCACCATGGAGTCATATGATCCCTTTTCCTGAGAAACAAGAACTAAAATGGTAAAAGCCAAAGAAGAAAAATTTTTGTAAAATTCTTTGGAACCAAATAAAAGTGAAAAAAAAAAGTTTCAATTCAATTCCTTTTATCAATTTAAGTACCGTTTCTTTTCATTTGCTTTCTTGTAACTGCTTCAAACCAAACCGTGCCTGGTAGAAAAGCCATGATAGAAGGAGAAAAATGCCAAATACAAGGAAGCTTTACCAGGTCAAGAAAAAGACCAGGAATCTGATATGGAAACTTAGCTCAGACACATAGCATGCTCCCTGGACTTCCAACAAATGGAAGGCCTCACAATGAGCTGGGATTAAACAAGTATCATCACCGCCACCACAACCGTTACAAAAAATTCATAACCAACGAAATGAATATCAACCAAAAGCTTGGGATGCAGAGATAATCAAGGAAACATGTTCAACATCTACTTGTTAAAAAAACACAACAAACCAAAACAGGATCTTAGCAACAAGCACTTGCTGGCACATTTCCAAGCATATAGTTTTGAGCTTCAATGCAAAAAAGATCTGATCTGTTTTGGGAGTCTGGATCCCTGTTATGGCTGAGATCTATAGGAGAAGAAACAAACCAAAACAGGATCTTAGCAACAAGCACTTGCTGGCACATTTCCAAGCATATAGTTTTGAGCTTCAATGCAAAAAAGATCTGATCTGTTTTGGCAGTCTCGATCCCTGTTATGGCTGAGATCTATAGGAGAAGAAACAAACCAAAACAGGATCTTAGCAACAAGCACTTGCTGGCACATTTCCAAGCATATAGTTTTGAGCTTCAATGCAAAAAAGATCTGATCTGTTTTGGGAGTCTGGATCCCTGTTATGGCTGAGATCTATAGGAGAAGAAACAAACCAAAACAGGATCTTAGCAACAAGCACTTGCTGGCACATTTCCAAGCATATAGTTTTGAGCTTCAATGCAAAAAAGATCTGATCTGTTTTGGCAGTCTCGATCCCTGTTATGGCTGAGATCTATAGGAGAAGAAACAAACCAAAACAGGATCTTAGCAACAAGCACTTGCTGGCACATTTCCAAGCATATAGTTTTGAGCTTCAATGCAAAAAAGATCTGATCTGTTTTGGCAGTCTCCTGTTATGGCTGAGATCTATAGGAGAAGAACCAAACCAAAACAGGATCTTAGCAACAAGCACTTGCTGGCACATTTCCAAGCATATAGTTTTGAGCTTCAATGCAAAATTTATTTCTCCTTTTTTTTTATTTATCACTTCTAGTTTATTTCTCTCCCCTGAAATCTTTTTTTTATATTTTTATAACTTGAGCAAGTTGCCCATCTGATGGGCGATGAATTGGCGACTTTAACTAGTTTTAAATTCATTTTTATTGGTTTAGTAGCTAATTAAATTATTAACGGTAATCACTATAAAAATTTACCCTAGAGAAAATTCAGTTCAAATTTTCTATATAAAGTTATCATTTATAAACATTCATCATCAGCAGCATTATACTGTAATATTCATTTAAAGTTTAAACAGAACAGTGTGATACAAGTAGGAGAAACTTGCATAAAAACAGATGCCAACGCAGTCATGGAATAAAAAAAAAGCACTCCGATACAAGTAGGAGAAACTTGCATAAAAACAAAACACTGCTCTCTAGATGAGCAAATTATTGTGTCAGGTGTCCGGATTCGTCCGGACACCAATAAAAACATGCAACGTCACTCAAAAATACCGGGGCCCAGTGCATCCGGGTGAGGTGGCATCTCTGGATTGGATGTCCGCATGTCAGATGACCGGACGCAATAATTTGCCCTCTAGATGACCATAAAAATTCCTTCCAGCTAAAGAACAATAAGAGCAAATATCTACACAAATTTAAGAATGGTTCCCTCAGAAGAAAATCCGAGTCATCAAATGATCAGAATTAGCATGGTTCAAATAAGCATCACTGGGAACCACACAATCCATGCATAAAAAGCACCAAATCACATTCAAGTTGACAGGAAATAATGTGCTAAATTACACAATGGGAAAACTTCAATGCAATGAACAGATTTGATGCCTTCAATATATCTAATAGTTTCATTTTATTATCCTTCCAGAGATCTTAAGAAATAGGGTTTGCAGGCAGTATTGTAGTTCACCCAAGTTTACTCAGATAAAAATATATTTCTTTTATTGATCATTCCAAACGACAAAAGATCATTAAGTCAACTTATCAGAATATAACCACTAGACATTTTAGAAGTATTATGATTGTAGTTTATTATCAGTTCCACCAAATATAATAGAATTATCCAAATTAGTAGAGATACAACTAATTCTTAGCCCAGTAACTACGCTTTACATGTAAACACAGTGAAGATGATAACCACAGAAACATCAGCTTACCATATCATTCAATCAAACCCTTAATTAGCACTAAGAACTAAATAAAATGAACTAGTACAGACTAAATCTCCAAACTTATCATATAGTTCATATATGAAGGGGAACAAAGCTAAGAAGATAAAAAATAGGGGTACTAGAAGTAGCTCGGAATGGGAAATTAAGCAATACCGTGTTCTGCCCAAGAGGGGCCCGAAGGGCAAGCTGATCAAATGACAGGCATTCTCCTCCAGCCTTAAGTATCCTAGCCCTCGCCGTCTCCGTGAACCTGAGAGCAGTAACCTTGATCGCTGGAATCTCATGGACCCTCTTATCATCAGTCACAGTTCCAACAATCACAGCAATATTATTCTCCTGCGCATAAACAACTTTCGATAAACTAAACTCTGCTACCTATATTGAAACGATCGACAAAACATGAAAAATTAAAATTAAAAAAAAAAACTGACTTTTCCCTTCATGTAGTGGATAAGCTTCCTGAGAGAGATGGGGGGCTTATTAATCTTGCTCATAAAAAGCCGCTTCAGAACCACACCATTAAACTTGCTCCCAGTCCTCCTCACCAGAAACCTATATAACTGGTAGAAGTAAAGCAAAGCAAATCAACCGCCCAACAAATGAGGGAAAGATAGTGCGAAATGAATTGTTTTGTCAGATCTGATTAATACCTTGACTAGAAGTTTCAGGTAAACATCATCGCTCTTTGGCGCGGTGCGCTTCGTCTTCTTGCTCCTGCCACCGGCAATGAGATCAATACCCTGAAGCGAAGAATATAACAATGGTTAGGTTTGCCAAGGTTCACGCGAAGCAGAAGACAAAATCCACTTTCATCAGGATTTCCGAAAGCGGAGGAGATCGCATACCATGGCTTCCAAGCTTGCGGCTGCTCGGCTATGCTGCGGATTCTTGCCTAGGGTTTTCCCTGGCTTATGCTAACTACTTATAGATAAGTTTAGATTTAAAACCCCATTCTACCCTCGCATCAATTATAAATTTTCCATGCGATAAAATCAACGGGTTGGGGGCTGTTTGGGGAAAACAATTAATTTTATATTTTTATTTTGATAAAATTTTTAGATCTTAAAATTTTTAAATTTAATTTGAGATAAGTAAAATATATATTTTTATTAATCTCTCATATGTATCATTTTTCTTTTGACATTCAGTCTTATTAATTTTTTTAATTAAGATATATTTATTTTAAAAAATTCAGTTGTAATATATATATATATATATATATATATATAAATTTAATGTGTTTGCAATATGAAAATCCAACACAAGCATATAGATAAAAGATTATCATAAGAGGCATAAAACAAAAATCACGCAACTAGGCATTGTTGAAATGATTATAGTAATATTTGTCATTAATTATGAATGATGCATTTTTTCGTGATTGGAGAAGATATTTATACAATATAGTTGACATAAATTATACAAAGCAAATTATATTGTAGAAGTTTGAAGCGCTCTGTGGCATTGGAGTTGTGTTCGAGAGATCATTTGCAATCTATTTGAATGTTTTCTTTTGAGGGAAGATTAGAACTAAGAAATCCATCATAAATATTGGTGCTTACGTTGGCAGTTAGTGTTGGCATTGATCGAATGCATTACCCTTATACATGATGGTATGCATCAAAACTTTCAACATTGACAAGTGATGAAGTCAGTAAGCAACGGTATAATCGAACGACATTGGTTAATATACTGTACTGGGATAACAGTTGTTGGAGGATTGTAATGGGGCAAATGTTATTGAATGATCGTAGCAAGCAATATTGGTCGAAGGATCGTAATAGGGCGATGACCGTCAAATATCCATAGCCAAGCAATGGTGTTCAAAGGGTCTTAGTTAAATAACAATGATTAGAGGGCCTTAGCTAGGTGAAAACGGTTGGGGGCCTTCACCAGGCAACAATGATCGGAGGGATATAGTTGGGTCGAGCAATAGATGTCAGAGGGTAGTAGCTGGCTGACGATGGTTGGAGGGTCGTAGCCGGACGACAATGGTCAAAGGGCGTAGTCAAGCAACAATTATTGGAGAGTTTTAAGCGAGCGACAATGGTCAAAGTTTTGGGGATGAAAGTAAACCACTCCATAAAATAAACAAGCAAAAGCAACGGAAAGTAAAAGAACACCAGAATTTCATTTGGAAAAATTCAAAATTGAGAAAAAAATCACGAAGCCTACAACAACAACAAATCCACTATGAAAATGGTTATAAATAAATTCATGTCTCTCTTCTCTCTCGCTCTCTCCTTTCTTCTCTTCTTTTAAACTTTTCGCACCCTCAAAATAAATAAGAAAGACAAGTTAATAATACTAAGAGACGTCACCTTTCAAAAAAACGAGAAAGAAAACTGCTTGCGAAATTGAGTCTCAAATGTTAAAAAAAAGATTTGGAGGCCTCCCAAAAGTGTCCAAATTAGATTTAACGCTTAAAAATAGGTTTAAACACCATTAAGCGATCAATCCGTTGGCAAGCACAAGTCCCCGCATGTGTTAGGGCATCTCCAACCGAACTCCATACCCCTATTTGACGTCTGCGAACTTCTCCAATCAAACAACAAATGGCCCATCATTCTTTCATTCATGAACAATACGATGCAAATACTGACGTCACACTGTTCAGAAACATATTTTTTGCGGAAACAAAGAAAGCGGAGGGGAGAAAGGCTAGTGCGTGTGATTGAGAAAGAATATACATGAAATATTTTTTTTTATGTCAAGAAATAGAGTTTGATCAGAGATGAATTACTACATTTTGAAGTATTACTTTATTTTGAAGTGAAAAATATTTTTTTTTCGGTTGCAGATGGTTTTGGAGTGGAAAACTTATATGTACTATAATTATTTTCGTTTTGTTTACATTTCAATATGAAATAAATATATTATTTTATTTTGGTTTTTATTTTTATTGAATTCCGTGCAATTATAAATTAATTTATTTTACACTTTGAAAGAGGAGAAAATCGGTTTTCTCGGTAAAATTGGGGAGGGTTCAAATCAATGTAGGAAAAAACAACTTATTTGAAGTTTGGACTTTTCAAGTTGCCGATTTTCATTATCCATGAGTTCGAGTTTGCTAGATTCTAGGAGGAAAGGATGGTGGCATTGTAGGCAAAGGTGTTGGTGGACTAGATCAAGTTGATATCAGTGCGAGGTTGATCAGTCACCTTAGTGGGGTTAGCCAACGACGAATGCAGCGTACGTCATCAATAGGCCCGACTCCTGGCAAAATTATTAATTGCGGTTACCCAACGCCGTCTGGAGGCCAATCAAGATGTGCCGCGTCACCGATTCACTATGTACAGTTATTATATATCATTGTGTATTGAGTAATGTGTCACATCATGATTAACTTCCATATGGTCCAATAACCACACGTAATAATTTCTTTAGGATTTGCTAGTAGTGATGTTTTAAAGAGGTTGGGTGGCCAATTGTTCTTATTTTGAAAAAAAAAAAAAAATTAAACCACCTAAATTTTTTTTTAAGTGCTTTTTA